AGGTGTCGTGGAAGAGCCCCCCCGCACACCCGCCTCGGGAGCCTGCCAGCGAGCCAGATGCTCCTGCTGGAAAACTGGCCTGTGCGCCAATTGCCGAAGGCACTGCCGGGCTGTGATCTCCATCCAGGCAGAGAAGGGGGTTGGGGGCAGGAAGGACACTTTATCACTCAGCAGGCAAGGTAGATTTTTTTATTATTATTATTACTATCATTTTTTTGGTCACCAAATTCAAAACAAATGACAAAAAAGATGACGGCCCAAAAATCATCTCAAAAATAATCTAAAGAATAAGAAACTATCTCGTTCTGCGACTCAAGGTTTGGCCCCATTTCATACGTTAAAATACTTGTTTCTCCCAGTTATTTTATCACTAAAAACAGTTTTAAACCCGGAGACAAAAGTACACATGTAATCTGTTTGGGCTGTAGGAGATGAAGGGACCAGTAAGTCCAGAGCCAAACTAGTGATATTTGGGTGGGTTTCCAAAGAGAACAACTATGTCATCAAGTGCAGAAAGGCTTTCTTTTAATTTTTTTTTAGAAGGGGGGAAAAAAAAAAAGCTCACACTTAAAGAGTAGACTCGCTTTTCAAAAGCACAACAATAGAGGAGGAATGCAAAATTTTCTTTTCATTCTTAATGGACTCAGCAAATAGGCAACTGAAAGAGATGCCAGGAGCACAGAAACATTTTTGGATAAATCAGCGTTGCTCATTGGCTCTGCTACAGCAAGGGGGAGTTGCACAACTTTACAATCTGGTTGAATATGGAGCACCTGGAGATAGGCAGGTGATTGTCCATATATCTCCTGCCACCACCCCAGTCAGAAAACAACCCAGTCTACGGCTGAATAGCCCGACTCAAGTGGCACCTCACAAAATGTGAAACAGAAATTTCCTAAGCCAAATTACCGCCCGGGACTTACACTGTTATTTGTCTCAGTGATGCCCATGGTCAGCCCCAGCCATTGGCAGGGAGCTGAGATCTGACAACCAGGATTCAGGGGGACCAGCCAGCAAACCCCGGGTGCCGGGCAGTGAATGGTGAGAGCACGTACATGGGCATGTTAGAAAGGAAAATCCATCCACTCTCCTCTGTCAGAGCCTTCCTTTGCCATACAGGTTAAAGTATGTACGTGTGTCTGTAATTTTCTCATCCTGAACATTTTCTTTTAGATCTTCCAAAAAATTCCAAAAAGCACCTGTCAGGTGTATACATCCTTATTCATAGTTATAGATGTGTCTGAAATGTAAACCAATATGTCTAAATCTTGTTACACTAAAGTGATGTGGAAGTTCCATTTGCATAAGGAGAAAAGCTTGGATACATCTGACGTTGCCTGTCTTCCACTCTGCCATCCAACTGCCTTTGTAAATCTGATCCCAGCTGCCATCCAGACAATGGGGTTTTTTTTTGAAAGTTGATGAACTTAAACGCTGAGAACACTCCTAAAAATACAGTCTTTTAAATAATGCACCAAGATGCAGGTGTTTTTCCACATACCTCTATGCTGGTGGGAGACAATATTTACCAACTACTACCACATTATGGTACCCACAATGTCCCTGTTATTTATAGAAGAAATATTGTTCTATTTCAGATAACAGCATGCCGACGATTAGCTTTTTGACTGCAAGTAATAGCAACGTTGAAAGTCACACTTCCATGGATGAATTTCTATGTTTTTTCCATTATAAACATTTATGGCAAAGTGAGAAACTAACATTAAAACACCACCGCAGCCTAAAAGCATCAAGTGCAATTTACTTTTATAAACATATGTGAAACCCATCAATTTCTTCCTGTTGGACAATTGGAAAAAAAAGTATAATGTTCAAAAATATTTTTCTATTTCCCTAATTCCAGTCTTTGAAAAGAAACCCCTCAGGCTACTGGGCTTTAATATGATGTCTGGCTATTTGAGAGCAAGCATTGCGCTGATGAAGATAGTCTCATTTTGGAGACTATTTCTGCATTCTTGGCCGATTCTTTGAAATGCATTATCTGGTGCACAGGAGTCCCTGTAATATTTGACACAACGTCTTCATCTACCACCCCAAATCTTGCTCCATCTGCACGTGCCCAGCTGACACTTGTTTGTTCTCACAGACTGCTGTACTTCTCCCCACAAGACAGATTTTTTCTTCATGTTCTGCAGTGACCCTCTTAGTGCCTCATTAGAAAAAAAACCCCTACATAAATTCAGATAAAAACAAAAAATATAATGGCTACAGTCGGGTAAATAGCAAATATTCTCAACAGTGTGTGTGCCAACATAGACACTGTATTGGCCACAGAAGTATTTACAGTCCACAGCATAAATTCATGCATCCTAAATTTCTGTGCTGCACGAGTCCCTGAATATGTATTGGACAAGCTGAAGAATATGCTCTATGTGCGTCTATATGAATTTAGCCATGGTTACATGGCTATTATTCTACTCTCCTCAACGTTCAGCCCATCCAGTCCACTGTGTGTATGTAGAAATTCTTCTTAAATCTTTGGGGGATAGCTTGAAAATAAATTGGAATAAGTAATTTATGGGAATGATATCTTGGAAAAACATCTCTTTTAATGTGAATCATACGCTATTCCTCAATCTGCTAATAAAAATACCCAATATAGACACTGAGTACATCGTAAACTATCTAATTAACTGGTAAAACGTCACATTGAGAAATTTCCCTCTTTTTTTTTTTTTTTTTTTCATGTGAAAGAACTTTGTGCCTTTGAAAGAGTGGAATTATTTGGACATCTCAGGAGCATAATAAAGCCTCTGTACTGGGAGAACTGGCAGGACTGGCACATACCTAAACCCAAGGTGGAGGAAATGCTTGCTGCCCAGTTTGGTCATTGCTTTCCTGGCAGAGTCGTCCAAGTTTCTAGATCCTTCATCGTTCACTGCAACCGACAGGATCATGCCATTCGCAACTCTGCCCAAATACTGGGACAGACGTATGCTTTCCTCTTTTGCTCTGTAGGTATCAAATCTAAAGTGATAAAAACACCCGAAAACATTTACTTCAGTGAGCATCGCAGCTTTATGTATTGAAAAACAAGTGCTATAAAGAAATAACTCTTATGTATTGTTTACAGTAATGATGTTATCCTGTTGCAAAAGCACTTGCCTAACAGGGTATATTAGGGGTTTCTGTTAAACCGAATTGATTAAACTCTAGTTGACAGAATGGCAAGGGAGTAACACTACTCACTCTCTTTGGTTTTGGAGATTACTGATCTAGAAAGAATTGTATATACATGCAATAACACCCATTTGAACAAGATACTAAAATGCATGTTTCTGAGCTTGCTGTCCCCAGCCTGACCCCAAAGATCCTCACATCTAAACAGCTGAAAAGTCACTCACCGATCTGAATGGACAACTGCCCCCGTCTTTGGGTCAATAACATGGACAATGACACCCCGATGGCCCCAGCTCCTTTCAAAGTAATATCCACCTTCTTCCATGCCACCAGGATGAAGAGTTTTGTTTAAGAAAGTCCAGGACAGCTTTTTCTTTCCGTGGATCTCAAGAGTGCCACCCTTACTTACTCCAAGATACTTCTGCCCAAAGTAGGGATTTGGTTGGCTGCCGTCACCCGCTCTGCAGCAGGAAGGGAGGAAAGGAACCAGTTTTGGGGTTGTATCTGACAGTCAACGAGCCTCTCCCCTTGTTTTGTTATGGCCCAAGCAGAAAAGTGTCATGATTTGCAATGTATTTATTTCAACTACTCTAAGAATGAACAACTGCTGATGTTGTATAAAAAACAGATTATTTTAAATAATACTAGCAACTACTGAAGACCAGCAGCAATCTGGAACTCTGATTATATAAGTTGTATTCATTATATCCAGGCCAGAGGAGGTCTGAAGCCCAGACACATTTGTGGTTTTGAATTCTGGAGGAAGTTAGGACCATAACCAGGAGCTAGGAGGTCTAGTAGTTATTAAATAGAAGTTGGGCATCCTTAAAAATCTAAGAGATCCTGTAGCAATCTACAAGACATAAGTGTATTATCCTTTAGCTCACGACATTCATGCAGAAAGAAAGGATGTTTAGGGAGGAGAATTTTCAGAATAAAATAACTATTTGGACTTCAAGCCTATTCTAGAAAATCAGCTTGAGTAGTGGCAAGGTGCATGCTGATTTTCTGGCATGCCCAAATACCCCGATGCTCATCTCCCAATAGTATTTGAAACCAGAACCAAAACTGCATCAATTTTTTACAGGGCAATTAAATTGTTTAACTTTCCACAGAGCACTCATGATAAGTATATCTGAGAAAATGTAATTTTAAGGAACATTTTTGTTCCCTCTTGTAGAAGAGAGATCCGAGAAAGTTGCAGCGCAATATTTTATCGTGCATACGTACCGCCCATATAAGATGATAAACACATTGCTTTGGTAAGGGCACATCTCACTGCCGATGTGTAACTCTCCATCATTTTCAATGAGTATATGTCTAGTACGCAAAATGATAGGCTGCACATCATCTTTAATGACCAGTTTTCCTAAGTAGAAAAGGTTATGACATTTGCTTTAACACACAGCAGCTCACCAGAGGTTGTGATACCATTGTGCTAAACCCAGTGCTGGGCTCTCATCTCAATTTTTGAAAAATTCTGCCCATCCTCCCCAAAACAGCTTTAAATACAAATCCTAAAGACATTATGTGGTTTTTATTCAATCCAATTCTTGAAGAATGCAATTTAGTTTTGCATGGAAGAGGACTCATTCAAAACTGAGACAGAAATTGAGACTTAAGATGAATAAAAGCTATTCATGCTAGCAGCCACCAGCAACACTATGGCTGTCTTAGTGAGACAGAGAGGCACATATGTATCTGCCCTGTCCTGAGACCTTGAGAACACAACTATTGCAGTATGATGTTATCAGGACAATGATTTAGTAAAAAAAAGTTTTTGAAGCAAATCCCAGAAGTATGAGTATACAGAGGTACTTTATAAATTCTCCAGAAAGGACAGCAAATATGTTGATTATAATGGCTAAAGAACCGATAGCATCTCAGCTACCACCCACCCTTGCACCAAATTAAAGCTGTGTTTGTCCAGCAGCCATCCAGTTCTCAGCAAGAAGCACGAAGCTCTCCCAGCGTGAGACAGAGTGATTTAAATAGCCACAGTGGAAAGCACGCTTCACCCAGCCTTGCCACCAGCACGTTTTACCTCCGTCAGTGATGTGGATGGAGTGGACAGTGGCAGAAGAAGAGAGGAGGAGCTTCCTGCCATTACGGATTTCAATGCGGTTTTCTTCGTTGTGACCTGGGTTCCAGTTTTCTAACTCAGGATCCTTATCAGGACATGCGAGAGCTGCTTCTGCTGGGTAGAGACGGAGAGTGGAGACAATTACTGTTTGTTCGGTGCAAGACAGAAAGCTCCATATCTGGGCATCTTTACAGCATCATCCGCGGTACCCCCCTTGCTGTCTCCTTGGAACACAGCAATATCTCAGTGCAGCAGAGTACATGTGGGTCACGACCAAAAGAAAACAAACAACAGCTTAAGCTGTATGGTTTTCTGTTTTCTGGAAGCATGGAAAAACCCACTACCCGATACAAAGGAGCCTTGCGAGGGACGCAATTTCCAGAAAACTGCCGAGAAGAGGCTGTAACTGAGCCCTTCCTGCAGTGACATTCAGCTCTGGTCATACCATCCAGACACAAAACCTTTCCCAAGCCCAGGGAAGATGTTCATGAAAGGATAAAACAACTACTGCCTTTAAGAATGCCCCCAAAATACCTGTGAGATTTGAAAAGTTTCTTTAAGGTAAAGATCTTAAAATACGTTTGCATACTGCATTTTCTCTGGAGTTGAAAAGTAAAAGTGCTCAAACTAACATGAAAACACCAAGCATGAAGGAATTACCAGTCCACCCAGAAACAGAGAGCAACAGGAGTCTCACGAGAGAGACTCTGGGTTTGTGAGCTTTTCTAGGCAGAAGCAATAAGGATTCATTCACTCTGGGTTCGCACATCACCAGTCTCCACACACAAATTTGATTACAGACTGCCATGACGTGTTAGTCTAAACGGCTCTCATACCAAATCCAAGAGTCTCATGTTTTAAGTATTTACTTAAGATAAAATACTTCCCTGATATAATCTCACTTGATATTTGAGCCTTACATCTTACTCTAATCAACAAAACGGCGAGTGCGAGAGTCCCATGTGTGATGCATATTTTCTGAGGGTAGAAAATTTTCTAATCCTAGGATTAGAGGTTAGTGGAAGTTTGAACAATGAGCCCTTTGCCATCAGAAAGGGTTGGGAGTTCTCACCAGCTCTCCAATTTTTATCCTTTAAAGCAAAAACACCATAGGAAAACTACAGGATCCACAAAACAATAATAATAGACATGGGAAAGACACCTTCACTTCAGCAGGGTTATGTCTCTGGCACTTAGTATAGTAAAGTTGGGCAGTTTTTGCCCCACAGATACTAATGCGTTCAGTTAATGGAAAGGACGATGATGTGAATCCATGCAAGGAAGCGTGTCCCGGTGCTGGTCAGAGAGTTGTGTGCTGCCACTGTGAAACTTGAGGGACATCTGTAATTCCACAGCAAACAGAAGCAAAACCTGGCCATCTGCATCCAGGTTCCTCTCAGATTGCTCCACCGGTTTCATGTCTTAAGAAAACAATAGAATTGGACCAGCTACCGCCTTATTGTCTCCAGAGACCCATTAAATACCGGCTATTCAAGGTAAGCAAGGGACATTTCATGTGGGCAACATATGCCTTGGCTCTCTGCAAACTTTTTTCCATGTACATGAAGTGATCAAATCAGAGAGGGCTAATAATCTACCAGGTAGAAAGGCAAATACTGATAAATGTCCAGGACCTGATTTTGATACCACCTGTGCCAGCTGGAAGCTGGAAGTGTATCGGTAATGTCAGAGGCACTTTTTCCAATTCACAGTAATTGAGGAAAATAAGGAGCAGTTTCTGAGTTCCCACCAGAAGACACACAGAATTAATGAGTTGGAAAAGATAAATATTTCAGGGAGGAAATGAGACTTGCATTGTAAATAGATGTTCAAATATAACTGTAATACACACTGACAGCAAATTCAAAAAAATGAGCTGTTATTCCCATAGGAATAAGGATAATAATAAAATTTGCTCATGATGAGAAGCTAAATAAAACCAAAAGAATCAATTCAAAAGTAGATATATAATTTATCAACTAGGTTAAGTGGACAGAATAAAAGCTTCTTCATTTTTCCCTTTACTTGGCTATGCTAGCATCCAAAAGAGCTTCCTGCAGTCTCAAAAGATGGCTTGTGCCCCCAAAATTCATTATTTAGAAACAGAGAGGTAGACAGTGAAGCCTAAGGGGAAATCAAGAGGAATTTACGGTGATGTTTGGGATGACATTCAGCAAGAGCCAACACAATCCAGAACAAAGGACCCAAATTCCCAATTTCATTTACCCAATTCACACCAGAGAGCAGAAGCCGTGCACACCACCGGCGTGCACTGCACCAAGGACACCGGAGGGCTGAGCACCTTCTCCCAGCTGGTGCAGGTACCTTGCCAGCTTAGATTATTACTCTCATTGTCTTTTTTTAAATAAGAGCGCAACTTCTACTCCGCAGAAGGAATTAACTGAATGTTTTGCTTCTTGACCAAAAGGGCCTGAGCACAGCAGTGAGAGGTTGCCTCATGCAGCTGCAGCGTTTGGGGCAAGACATATGGTCTCTTTGTTTTAAACAAATACAACCCCCAAATTAGCTGTATTTAGAATATGTATATCCAGCTTCCCTTTTCCCCTTTCCCTCACTGCTTAGGAAAAGGGCTACTCGGAAGAGACAAAACCCAGGGGACAGGGACATCCCACCCCAGAGCTTTTTGTTCTCCACATCTGGGCTTGGGCAACGAAGCAAAATGCTCGACTTCACCTCCCACGGCAAGGGAGGACCTGTTAGGACCTGAGGTTTCTTTCGTTATTTCTTTGTGGCAGTTTGTTGGATTTGGGTTTGTTTTCAGAACGCGTGGCAGAGTCTGAGGGATTCCTGAGGGTACTTTCACCTGCTCAGAAATTTCAGCCTTTGCCACTCCAGCTGCCCTCGATCGGGAGTATCGGCACATCAGAAAACTGCTTTTCTCCTGAGTTTTCTGACTCTGTCCTTGACTCTTCTTATATGAAGAGTGAAAAGCTGCTCAATCTAAACCAACAATGTCTTTATTTAAAAACTGTTACAAACTTTCCCAAAGGCAGAAAAACTTACCTGTGCTTACAGAAGAGATTACAAACAGAAGAAAAATGATGTTTTTGGCCAGGTACTTGGAGGTAGGTAGAGCCATTCTTCAGGATTTTTAATTCTCTGGATGGATACCTGTGAAGAAAGAATATCAAGCAAATGTTACTCCTTTTTCCCCAGCTCATGCAAAAACCATTCACTGCACAAAAAAGGTTATATCCAGCTTTATGCCAGCCCACTTCCACTCCCATTCAGCTCTATGGCTGAGAACACCTTCACGCTGCTTCGGGACCAGCCTGAACAGAGCTAGAAACCAGGGGCAGCTCCTCACCCTTTGTTTGGTTTAGGATAAACCCACTTGGGAATCTAAATAGACACTCGGAAAGCAACCACCAGATGTAACCAAAAACACCTTAGGAATGCAGTACAAACACATCCAGTGTCAAGACTCTCCAGGGCTGAATATTCACATGTGCAAAAAAGTAATGAAACACAACAGAGAAGGCGTTTGCAGAGTGACAAATTTTCATGAAGTAACCTTTCAACGGCACCTCTCTCCCCCCGTACTACCCGCACATTTTTAGCAAAATGGTGTTTTGTGCACCCCCAAGATAAACTGTACTCACACTTCCAGTCTGAAGCATACAGCTTCTTAGATTTCAGATCCAAGAAAACATTATATATTTAATGTGCCAGAATACTCTTGCAAGACCAAAAGCTGCTTTTGAAAGCCGTCTATCTAATGTTGTTTTCATTTCTTCAGTAGCCAACCCCCAGCAAAAACAAACAAGGAGTGTCATGAAAGTCAAAGTTAGAATTAATGTGATTCTCTCCCATGATGGATTCGGCAGCCCTGCCCCGTGCTCATGACAATTTATTGACGCGCATGTTCACACCAAGGCAAGGACACCCACTTCTGTGTCAGTGCTCTGTGTTCCTAAGGCACAGTTTAAAATTCACATGTAGTCCTTGGAGCCATTAGGTTTTATCATGTAAGCCAGTATCTGAGGAATATCGAAGACATTTATTTGTAGCTGTCATGACATCACAATGATGAAATAGGATAAACGTATGCATCACACAGCTTGCTTAGACGCAAAAAAAAGGAATTGAAAAAAACTCCA